GGGGGGGCGCTAAGGGTGCCCGCCGAGTCCCACGGTCACAGGCTTCACCCGCCTGTGGTTTTCGAAGGGGTCCCCGCTTCGCCGTAGCGGCAAGACCCGATTTCCGCGGAGCTACTCCCTCAAGACTAGAGGGAATCCGCCATTGCCGATGGCGCCGCCTCGGGAAGTCCTTCCCATTTTTTGAGTCTGTTGGGATGGATGTGGCAGCAGAAGGCAATGCATTTCTTGGAGGCCGGATCTGCTGCTCCGTGGATCTTGCTGCCTGAGGCAGTTGCCTCGCCTTGCCTCATGGGTTGGCTGGCCCTGTGTTGAGCCTAAGTTTTGTAGTGGAAGCCATGCTGGGTGACCCTGGTGGATTAGGAGCCCAACAACACCTGGAGGGCCACAGATTCCCCAGACCTGCTTAAGGGGGAGAGAGAAGCAAATAAGTCCCCAAATCTGCTTCTGATACAGGCCATAGAGCTGGTTTCCTTTTTCGCAGAAGCCTCCCATGACACTTCAGAAAATGTAATTTTATTTAGTTGTGTGGTCTTCCGGAGAGTCTGTCTGGAAACTTAAAATGGCTCCCACCTGAACTCTCCTCACAGAAGAGCATGTTGCTGACTGGGCCAATAACTTCCAGTTTATGAATAGTCTGCACTCCCTGTTGGGTGCTGTAATAACCGCAGCTATTTTCCTGGAGCTACTTAAAAACAGATTTCAATGATCGCTAGAAGTGATTTACTCTGGCACAATCAGCAAGCCCTCGCTTTAAATAATGTGGGGAAGAAACATACGGCCCCTGAGCATCATGGGAAATCTCTGAGCACTGACATAACCGAGGGGAAGGTATTTCCAATGTCTGGCACGAAGGCGCCCTGAGACGACGAAGGTTTCGCTTGCTGGACCCTGCAATAGAGACATCTCTCATGATAGGATGCTTGAAGGCAAAGGCTTTTTATTGTAGACAGTGTAAGCTCCTTTAATGCACTCTCTGGCTCAGTGAAATATTGAATTCTTAGACTTCTGTTAAGCTTCTCTTGGGGCTCCAGAGAGGATACATTTCTCCACAGTGAGCTGCCTAAGCTGCTTATCAGGCTATGCCTTCGTCTATCCATGTCATTTTCGAATGATATTTCCATTTACTTTTGTGTGCAGATGAATGAATTTAAAACCTCCCCTGTGTTCTTGTAAGCAGCGCTCTTTTGAATTCCGTTCCCCCCCCCCCACTTCTAAAAAGTTGGCTATTAACTGTGGCTATCTAAGGCTGAAAACCTCCTGGTCATACCTAACTTTGCAATCGGTGGGACTTGCTTCCAAGTAAAGCAGGTTAGGATCACACTTTAAAAGGGAGAGTGATATATATCCTTTCCAAAAAAAAGTACAAGGGCACAGTCTGGAGTGTGTATTTTTGGCTGCAGTCCTAAAAACTCAGGAGTATGTTCCGTTGAACTAAGTGGGAAATCATTAGTAAATGTGTAAAGGATTGTAATATAAAGCCCCTGTTTGGCCCCTGTGTCTGGAGGGTGCTTTGGTGTCATTTGATGTTCAGAGGCACCAAAGGACTAAGGAATGGTTCTTGCTTTCCTTAGATCAAGCTTCTTCCACTCCAGATGTTGTTGGACTACAAATCCCACCACCCCTGAACTTGGGCCATGCTGGCTAGGGCTGATGGGAGCTGGAGTGCACCACATTAGGTTAAAGGACCGTCTCCACCCCCATCATTCTGGACACTGAGGTCCAGCGCCAAGGACCTTCTGGCAGTTCCCTCCCTGCAAGAAATTAGGTTACAGGGAACCAGGCAGAGGGCCTTTTCAGTAGTGGCGCCCGCCCTGTGGATGTCAAGGAAATAAACAACTATCTGACTTTTAGAAGACGTCTGAAGGAAGCCTTGTTTAGGGAAGTTTTTAAGGTTTGACGTTTTATTGTACTTCTAATATTCTATTGGGAACTGCCTAGAGTGGCTGGGGAAACCCAGCCAGATGGGCGTGGTTTATGTTGAATAGTGGGTAGACATGGTAGACGACACAGCGATTTCTCCAAAGCAGCTCTTTATTTTGTAAGCTGGAACAGAACTCAACAGCAAACAGCTCAGCCGGCCTGCTTTTATAGGCAGCCAGCTGTCAACATTGTAGCAACAACAACCCAGGGTTTCCCGCCTAAAATAACTGCCGTGGCCTGGGGGTTCGGCCACGGCAAAGTCCAGGTGCAGCCGGTTGAGCGGTGACCTGAGGCGGCGGCCCATAAGCAGTTCAGCAGGACTCTGCCCTGTGGTCACATGAGGGGTGATGTGTTGCACGAACAAGTATTCGGCGACCCGCTCGTGCCAGTCTCCCCGGTCCAGGCGCACCAGTGCCTCTTTTGCCGAGCGCACCATTCTCTCCGCTTGCCCATTGCTGGATGGATGAAAGGCTGCTGTTAGGGCATGGCAGATGCCCAGTCCCAAAAGATACCGCTCAAAAGTGCCTGACGTGAACTGCGGTCCGTTGTCGGAGACAAGGACATCAGGACACCCATGCGTTGCAAACAGGCCTCGCAGCACCCGGATGACGGCCTCGGTAGGGGTGGAGGGCATCAGGGCCACCTCCAGCCATTTGGAATAGGCGTCCACCACTACCATAAAGGTCCGGCCGTGAAAGGGGCCGGCCAGATCGATGTGCACCCTCGACCAGGGTGTCTTTGGCGTCTCCCAGGTGTGTCCCTTAGCTGCCGGTGGCACAGGCCTCGATTCTTGGCACGCTTGACAGGCGGACACCCAGGCAGTGATGGCATCGTCCATGTTAGGCCACCAGACGTAACACCGAGCCAATGCCTTCATTTTGACGATTCCCGGGTGGCCAACGTGCAGAGCCTCCAGGACGCGTTGACGGAGTCTTTGCGGAATCACGACGCGGTCTCCCCACAGCAGACAGCCGCGATGAGCCGAGAGTTCATGTTGTCTGGTTGCGAAGGGCTGGAACTCCAATGCAAAAGGCCCTTGTGGCCACCCCCTCCACACCCAGTTGAGCACACGGCTGATGGTGCGATCCTGGGCAGATGCGGAGGCCACAGTGGCAGCCGATACAGGCGCTGCTGGAAGATCCTCAATCAGGAGGAGCGATGAAGCTGGAGCCGGGTCTTTCACAAACGCTGGAAGAGGGCAACGGCTGAGGGCGTCGGCATGGCCCATTGATTTCCCCGGGCGATGGACGAGCCGGTAGTGGTAGGCAGCCAGGAAAACAGTCCATCGCAGCGAGAGGACCGGTGGAGTTGGACGATCACCGGTGAGGAGGCCCAGGAGCGGCTTGTGGTCAGTGATGAGGTCAAAAGTCCTGCCATAGAGGTATTCATGGAACCTCTTCACTCCAGCCACAAGTGCCAGTGCCTCCTTGTCGAGCTGGCTGTAATTCCGTTCCGTCGGCAATAGCGTCCTGGAAAAGTAGGCGAGCGGTGCTTCTCTTCCGTCTGGAAAACGGTGACTAAGGACAGCGCCGATGCCACAAGGTGAGGCGTCGCAGACAAGGACCAGCGGCCTGGATTCACTGTACTGTACCAGCACACGGTCCGATGAAAGGAGAGCCTTGACCGCGTTGAAGGCCGCCGTCTCCCGATGACCCCAGGACCAAGGCATCTTTGTGCTGAGGAGTCGGTGAAGAGGCTCAGCCACCGTGGCTTTGTGGGGCAGGAACATGTTATAAAAGTTCAGCAGCCCCAGGAACGCCTGCAACTCCGTCTTGTTCTTTGGGATGGGGGCCTGCTGGATAGCGCGGATCTTGGATGTGGTCGGGTGAAGGCCAGAGGCATCGATAAGATAGCCCAGGAACTCTACCTGTGGAACGGCGATCTGGCACTTCTCCCTCTTTACCTTGAGCCCAGCCTCTTGGAACCTGGTCAGCACGGCACAGAGGCACTCGAACAGCTGCTGCTGTGAGTCTGCGGACACCAAGACGTCATCAAAATATGGTACCACACCCGGAAGCCCTTGCAGGAGACACTCCATAAGGCTTTGGAAGGTGCCAGGAGCCACACTCACCCCGAACTGCAACCAGCGGCAACGGAATGCCCCTCGGTGGGTGACGATCGTCTGGGCTTCAGCAGTGGCATCATCGACGGGCAGTTGTTGATAGGCTTGGCAAGGTCCAGCTTAGCGAAGATCTTACCCTCACCCAGGGAATGCAGCAGGTGTTGGACAACAGGAACCGTATAAGCGTGCTGCTGAAGTGCCTTGTTGATCGTGCACTTGTAGTCAGCGCAGATTCTCACCGACCCGTCTGGCTTGACAGGCGTGACGATGGGGGTTTCCCACTTGGCGTGGTCAACCAGCTCCAAAACTCCTTGGGCGATCAGCTTGTCCAGTTGTTCGTCCACCTTAGCCTTGAGAGCAAAGGGAACCCGGCGTGGCTTTAGCTTGATGGATCAAGGCTAAAGGAGATGGGCGTACCTGTATATTGCCCCAAAGTGCCGTCAAAAACCTCAGCAAAGTCTTTGACCAGACCCTCAGTCTCTGCATTAGAGATGCAGTTGATGCTGGTGACTTCCAGGCCGAGGGCATCAAACCAGTCTAGCCCTAGGAGGCTTGGCCGCTGACCTTTGACCACCACCAACCGGAGCAGGCCCGAAAAATCCTTGAAGGCGATCCGGAACCGGCCACCGCCTACCACGGGAATGTCGTTTCCCTGGTAGTCTCTCAGGTGTATGCGGTGAGAGTCAAGTTGCCTTTTGGACACTCTGGGTACCAGTCTTTTGATGGTGCTCCAAGACACGATGGACAGGGCAGATCCGGTGTCGATCTCCATGTCACATGGAGCTCCTTCAATGAGCACCGTGACGTTCAGCTTGCGTCGCGTAGGCGAGTCGGTTTGGCCAATCGTGGTTCCAGACGGGCAGCGGCAGTTGGTGAGAGCGAAACAAATTTCCTTGGCAGACTGGAGTGAAGACTTGGACTTGCAAGTCGGTGAAGGGGGTGTGTCAGACGGAGCCGATCGGCAGACCTTAGCGATGTGGCCCCTTCTGGAACACTTCCTACAGATGGCGTCTCTGAATCAACACTTGGCACGGGAATGGTTGCCTCCGCAGCTGGCACATTCCGGTTGGCCCTTGGACTTCTGTTGGAACTTCCTGCGCTCCCGCTTTGTCTGGTGCACGTCATCGTCTTCACTGGAGGATGCCTCATCACTGCTGGCCTCTTCATGATGCACTGGAACTGGCTTCCTAGCAAGACGCGGGCTGCTGGACTTGCGGATCTCCTGGGCGGAGCGTTCAGCAGCTTCTGAGGCCACAGCCTCCTCAGTGGCTTTCTGTAGCATGAGGTCTGGCTTGGCGAGGAGACGGCGTTGCAGATGGATGTCCCGGACCCCGCAGACGATTCGATCCATCAGGGCATCGTCTAAGTCTCGGAACTCGCAGTGCATTGCAGCCTGTCGCAGGGCGGTGGTGTAGTTGTTGATTGACTCCCCCTCTGCCTGGTTCCGGTGGTAAAATGCATGGCGGGCAGCAATCTTGGACGGCTTTGGCATGTAGTGGTTGCGGAGCTTCTCTTGGATCGTGTCGCATGGTGTTGCCTGGACTGCTTCTGGCGCAACCAATGCTCGGGCCATCTCAAACACCTCAGGCCCACAGAGGCTGAGGAATAGGCCCCCGCTTCCGTTCATTTGATACTGCTGTCAGCTCGTTGGCTTGGAGGTAGCAATCGAACCGAGCGAGGTAGGAGTCCCATGATTCAGAGGCTGGCGCAAACGGCGGTAGAGGCACAAGTGAAGCCATGATTCCGATGCCAGCGTGAAGGGCGATGGATGGAACACAGTACTCCAGCCAGAACAGTCAGTTCTGAATTGGTTCTGTCCAGTGATTTCGCTCAGTGATTTCGCTCTGTGATTCAGCTCAGTTCAGAGGATGGCTGCATCTGGCTGTGCTCTGATGTCCACCTATCCCACCTTCATCGCCAGTGTTGAATAGTGGGTAGACATGGCAGACGACACAGCGATTTCTCCAAAGCAGCTCATTATTTTGTAAGCTGGAACAGAACTCAATAGCAAACAGCTCAGCCGGCCTGCTTTTATAGGCAGCCAGCTGTCAACATTGTAGCAGCAGCAACCCAGGGTTTCCCGCCTAAAATAACTGACGTGGACCTGAGTGAAAACTATCTACAGTATCCCCCTGCTGGCCCAGGGTCAGTACATAACAGTTTTATTATTATTATTATTATTAATATTATTATTATTATTATTATTAACTGTGTTCCTCTTTCTTTGGCAGCCAGACCATAATTGGGAATCTGGTCTCCCGTCTTGGAAAGACATCCCTAAAATAACTTGAAGTTTGTGCTGGTTATTAAGATAACAGATTGCCTCTGTTAGTGTTTCGACTGTCAAAAGAACACAAATGATGTACTGCATTTTTAATTGTCTGTTTAAAAGCATGACAAACATATATATATTTGCTGGTGGTGGGAAATTTCTTTTAGGCCTTCAAGAAATTATTTTTTGTTATACAGGCAAGAAGTTTTATTTTTCACCCAGTTCTCCTGTTAGTGTTGCTTTTTTTGGGGAAAAATCCAAAGTATAGGGCATGTAAATTGTTATATTCCTTTTAATCTTTTTTTGTTTTTTTTAAGGCAATAGATAAAGTTTTTCAGCAACAGCTTATTAGCTCTGGACTATCAGGTTATGTAGTTTAACAGATGTGAGAAACTTTTTTTTAGCACTAGTGCCATGACAAGGTTTTAAAAAAAGATGCTTATTGTATCTGTGAGTTGGAGAACAGATGGTTTGCAGTGCTACTCAGCGAAGAGGCGCTTACCTTAATTTATGGAGGTATTTCTGATTTATTTCTGCATTTTCCTAGCTCTCCCCCCCCCCAATAAAATAAATCTTCTCTGTTCAAGTATTGTTTGTTGAAAAGGAGGAAGTGAGACAGAAGTAAGAATCCTGAACTACATAAAAACAGGAAATCAGTAGAAATCAAGGTGTCGGAAGCATCTGTACAAAAAGCCAGGAAATCATAATTTTACCCCATACAGACAGAATGCTAGTTATTCTGTGGGCCTGTCCATACTGTACCTTTTCTAGTTAGGAGTTTCCACATCTGTTTTTGTCCTACATGGAGAAAAATAATATGTGAAAGGTCCCGGATTCAATCTCTGGCACATTTCCAGGTAGTGCTATGAAAGTCCTCTGTTTGAAAATCTTGGGGAGCATTGCTAGTCAGCGTATACCATATAGAGAGCTCAATGGACCAGTGACCAGACTTGGTCTAAATGGCATGTTTGTTTTGCTGAAAGAAAATGGGCTGGGAAGATGAACTGCAAAGGGACCATATCTGTTTAGGGAAGAGGCCATGTGTGAAGCAGCTCTCGTAATACAGTTAACACGCTTCCTGTGTTTGGTGGTCCCTGGTGGCTCAGAGTCACAGCTTGCAATTGCTACAAGATGTGCATTCAATGTTAGAGGCCCAAGCCTGTGGAACTCCTTCCCACTGAGATTAGACCGGTACTCTCCTTGCTGAAATTCAGGAGCACAAGAAGGACTTTATTACTTCAGGAGGCAATTTAAGGTAGCGTTGGTGTTACAAATTTTTAAATTTTATTTTCTGCTCTTATTCAGTAAGGAAACAGCCTCCTTTTAAGCACCAGGAACAGAGTAGACCCATTAAAATTAATGGATCCAAGTTGGTCATGTCCGTTATTCCCAGTGTGTCTACTCTGAGTGGGACTAACATTTCATACAATTCTCATTTGGGGGGGGGGGTGTACCTCCAGTCCTTTCCCCTGTGCATATGTCTTCAAGCGCCATTTTAAAGAACCTTCTTTATCTCTCCCCTACCAATACAATATAAAGGGGTGGACATGTTCTTAATAGCTGCCCAGAATGTCCAGGGACAACCCAGTCAGAAGGGTGGCATATAAATAATAAAGTTGTTGTTGTTGTTGTTGTTGTTGTTGTTAACACCTGCTCTCTTGTTGGCATTTTTCTTACATGAACAGACAGAAGAATCTTTATTTGCATCAGCCATGAATAGACAGCTCTGTGTTTGGCTCTGTAAATGGAAAGCCCTTGATTGTTTTAAAGTTGATGTTGAAGTTCTCTGCCTATACTGGTTGCTAACAATAAAAAGCAAATAATCACGTACGGTGAAGTCCTATGTGGAAATTTGACCCACCGAGTTTGTTCCACACATCATTTTGTTACCCACAAACCACCTGATCGCTGTCTTGGCCAGATAAAATGACAGAACTGTTAGAAATGTCTCTTTAGCAAGAACCTTTCTCCTCTTTTATTTGCAGGTTGGAAGGGGTCGAAACGCTTCTACAGAATGTTTCAAAAAGATGCCGATTTCCTGAATGTCGAACAGAAAGCATATGCTGCCACCCAATGGACAATTAGGGGAACTTCTCCTTTGCACTTGAAGTTGCCGGGGAAAGAAGGTCCCTGTCAACTGAGGATAACGCTGAATGCATTTGAGGAAGTGCGCTTTAGTCCAAAAAAGTGTGTGCCATAGCAAATGTATCATTCTTTTACAGTGCCAGAAGGCTCTTTGTTGCTTTGTCATATTTATTGCTAAAAGACCAGCTGCGGACCGCAACTAATACTAGGGAACAGAGCGATACGTTTGCCATTATCTTTGCTGCAGGAGTTGTTGGAAGTAGGTGTACAAGACGCCATCCATCTGTCCCGGGGACTCCACTCTGGTTTTGTGTAGTGTTTACTCCTTGGTCTTTTTTTCTCCCAAAGATATCCCGCAAGGCAGCCGAGATTTAGGACCAGAGCTTTCCTTCTCCTAGATGGGCTACCTTCCCAGGCTGACGAGCCTCATCTGTCTCTCCAAAGCACATGCAGAAACTGCCTTCTTTGACCATTGGAATCACTATTGGGCTCGTCTACTCAATCTGCTGGAATAGACCAAGGCATAGCTCGGTTGGTAGAGTATGAGGGACGCGGGTGGCACTGTGGTCTAAACCACTGAGCCTCTTGCGCTTGCTGATTGGAAGGTCGGCGGTTCGAATCCGCGCAACGGGGTGAGCTCCTGTTGCTCTGTCCCAGCTTCTGGCAACCTAGCAGTCTGAAAGCACACCAGTGCAAGTAGATAAATAGGTACCACTGTAATGGGAAGGTAAACAGCATTTCCGTGCACTCTGGCTTCCATCACGGTGTTCCGTTGCGCCAGAAGCGGTTTAGCCATGCTGGTCACATGACCCAGAAAGCTGTCTGTGGACAAACACCAGCTCCCTTGGCCTGAAAGCGAGATGAACAGCACAGCCCCATGGTTGCCTTTGACTGGACTTAACCACCCAGGGGTCCTTTACCTTTTACCTTTACCTGGAATATGAGACTCTTAATCTCAGGGTTGTGTGTTCGAGCCCCACATTGGGCAAATGATTTCTGCATTGCAGGGGTTGGACTATACCAGGCATGGCCAAACTTGGCCCTCCAGATGTTTTGGGACTACAACTCCCATCATCCCTAGCTAACGGCGGTTATAGTCTCCAAACATCTGGAGGGCTGAGTTTGGCCATGCCTGGACTAGAGGAACCTCGCAGCCCCTTCCAATTCTATGATTCCATGAAAATTCAACCTCCTATACACAAGGGTAAAAATCTAGCTGTGCAAATTACCCTCCACAGCATCGCTGAACTATACCATCTTCTCCACCATATCCCCCTTTGTAGCTCCCATATCCCCCTTTCAGCTTTCTATGCGCACACTGGATTTGGAATCCTCTTGGAATTGCATTTATGCTGCAATTCTATATCCATTTACCTTTGATTTCCAACTCTGCTGCTGTAGGCAGCATTCCTCTTAGTCTCAGGTGGTTTGAGCCCCATGTTGGGGAAAAAGACTCCTGCATTGCAAAGAGTTAGACTCAATGTTCCTCGTGATCCCTTCCAACTCTACAATTCCATGATTCTATCATTCTATTCAAGGGACGTGGGTGGCACTGTGGGTTAAACCACAGAGCCTAGGGCTTGCCGATCAGAAGGTCGGCGGTTCAAATCCCTGTGACAGGGTGAGCTCCCGTTGCTCAGTCCCTGCTCCTGCCAACCTAGCAGTTCGAAAGCACGTCAAAGTGCAAGTAGATAAATAGGTACCGCTCCAGCGGGAAGGTAAATGGTGTTTCCGTGCGCTGCTCTGGTTCGCCAGAAGCGGCTTAGTCATGCTGGCCACATGACCCAGAAGCTGTACACCGGCTCCCTTGGCCAGTAAAGCGAGATGAGCGGCGCAACCCCAGAGTCGTCTGTGACTGGACTTAATGGTCAGGGGTCCCTTTACCTTTTATCATTCTATTGCGACCATGCCCTGCTTGTGGACTTCTGTGAGAACAAAATATTGGCCTAGATAGGCCTTTAGTCTGATCTAGCTGTGTTGTTCTGACAAATAAGCCTTGGGAACTTGGCAGCATTTTATTTTGAATAGATATATATAGGTTGGCATTGCCTGATGGATTTGACAGCCGAGCAATGGTGCGCGGCTCTCGTCGCTTTACCACCTCCTGTCCCAGACAAGACTATGTATGACTCTGCTTGGCTCTGAGCGGTGAAACCGTTCTTGTGTTAGATCAGGGGAAACTCCTATGGTACAAAACCCCAGCACTGATCCAAGCCAATGGCTGCTACAAACAGGAGGCTGTAATTGCCTAATTGATCCCCTGGAGCCCTGTGGCATCTTTAATGCAAGTAATGCCTATAATTTGGCCATTAATGATCCCTTGCGAACGGGATAAACTGCCTCCATTAGACCAAGTGCCCTTCTTGCAATTCCAACAGGCCCAAGCTCGTCAAAGTAAACCAAAGCAACCTGTTTCTTTATGCCTGTTTTTGAGTTGGTGGTGGTGTCCCAGAGAACTAATTTTTGGGGATCTGTACAAGTTTTAGTGCTGTTCACACTTAAGCCTCTTCTGAATGTGACTGGTTTTTAAATTTTAGCACCGCTGTTAAGATGCTTATAATATCTGGCACATTCAGGCTTGATTTACTTTGTTCTTCCATAAATGTGTGCGTGATTCTATTATATCACTGCAGAGGACCAGTGTTTTATTGAAACACACATTGTTTTCGCTATCATAGAACCATGGAGTTCTAGTCCAACCTGAATATAGGGATTGAACCTGAAATCTTGGCATTATCTGCACCATACTCTAACCAACTGGGCCATCCTTAGTTATACTTCATTGATCATTTATATATCAGCATGTGTTTGTGTCTATTTTACAGGTACCAATGTATTTGCTTTGTGGTTATAAAACTAGTTGTATTTGGGGAAGCACCACACCATACATTTAAAGTGCACTTGACTGCACCCAAAGAATCCTGGGAAATGTCATTTCCCCCCTCACAGACCTGCAGTTCCCAGTACCATAAAAACTATGATTCTCAGGATTCTTTGGTAGAATTTGTGTGTTTAAATTTGCACTGGATGTGTTTTAAATGTATGCTTGTGGATCTCCCCTTAGTTGAGAAGTTTTGGGGTGTGTGTGTTTTTCTTTACATTTTTTACCTCACAATTTCTTTGTCGCTTTGATTTTTGAGGTTGGTCCATATACACTCCCCTTTGTTTATTCCTGGATAATGAGGCGGCTCTGTTATGATAAATGATACACATACCCATCACATCTTACAGCTCACAGCACTCATACCCAAATGCAGGATTTACACCAGAAACAGTCATCTTTTGACCTTCCAGATATTGTTAAATTCCCATGGTGGGATTGGTAGTGTAGCAACAGCTGCAGAGCCACAGTTTTCCCATTACTGGTTGTGTAAACCACTGTATAAAATCTAAATACTGTAAAGCAGCGGTTCTCAACCTGTGGGTCCCCAGATGTTGTTGGACTACAATTTCCATAATCCCCGAGCTCTGGCCTTGCTAGCTAGGGGTGATGAGAGTTGTAGTTCAGCAACATCTGGGGACCCACAGGTTGAGAAAGGCTGCTGTAAAGGGGCAATACTAGTGCAATGAGCACCGCGAGTGTTTGCAGGAGCCAGGCCCCGAGCACTGTGAGAGTTTGCAAGAACCAGGCGCTTGCTGTGCTGGCCTTGGGGGAAGCAGGTGCAGGCTGGCAGGCGTGGTCAGATGATTTGATGCACTGCACCTGGAGGCAAGCTATATAAGGTCTACATTTCACCCTCGATTTCTGCATTTCACCATTTCTTTTCCACAGCAGTATAGTTTTATGCCATGCTGTGGCCTGTTCCTGGCTGCCTCTGGGCCCTGATCTCTGTTGGATCTGTTTCCATACCCTGGTCCTGGACTCTTGCTCCCCATGCCCCGGACCATGACAACTTGTCACTGTGATCCATGCCCTGTTGGGTGAGTAGAAAGCACTGCTGTATGCACACAATGGAGCAAGCAGTGACAATTTTTGGTGGCACCTCCATTTGCCACGTTGAACACTTCTCCAAAGGGATATCTGACCTTCCCAAACAGCTTTGCGGGTCAGTCGGAAGAAGGGAGTTGGAAGAGCCCACAGCATGGGTATGATAGCCCATATGGTTCCTGGATATGGAGAATTCTTTCGGAGCAGATCTGCACTCATGGTTTATAACATTAAGGAAGCTTTAAGGAATGATTTTCAGAACGTAGATGGAGAAATTATGTTTTGCTTGTAATATTAACAATGTGTTATTGGGAAGTGCTAGAGGAGGAGGTTAAATCTGTGATGATTCAGTGGTCTAAAGACTTCAGTTATAATATTCAGATGGCATCTTGGGAAAAGCTTTGGAGACATGACTTAAAATTTATGGCTTGCTATGCTTTCAAAGAAAAATATATGAAGACTGATGGTACATTATACCAAACAAGCTGGCGGAAATGTATAAAACCAGCTCGAATCTTTGCTGGAGATGTAAAGAATCAGAGGGAACAATGTTTCACATGTGGTGGAAATGTAAACAGATTAAAAACGTTTGGGAAATTATTGATAAGGAACTTTAAAAAATGTTCAAATTAACTTTCATTAAAAAGCCGGAAGCCTTCTTGTTAGGTATTATTGCTGCAGATATACCGAAAGAATTAAGAAAGATATTTATATATGCAACTACTGCGGCGAGAATGTTAATAGCTAAATGGTGGAAGGGAGATAAAATACCAGCTAAATTGGAATGGCAGGCGAAGTTATTTGAATACAGTGGTACCTCGGGTTACATACGCTTCAGGTTACATACGCTTCAGGTTAGACTCCGCTAACCCAGAAATAGTACCTCGGGTTAAGAACTTTGCTTTAGGATGAGAACAGAAATCATGCAATGGTGGCATGGCGGCAGCGGGAGGCTCCATTAGCTAAAGTGGTGCTTCAGGTTAAGAACAGTTTCAGGTTGAGAACGGACCTCCAGAACGAATTAAGTTCTTAACCTGAGGTACCACTGTATGTAGAATTGGCAAAGATGACAGGGAAAATTAGGAACCTGCTATGGATCTGCTTGAATCATTTGCCAAGAGAACTGTTTATTTGGTTAATGTTTTGTGTGCTTTAATAATTTTTGAGGGGGGGGGGAGACCCTTCTAAATGTTTGTAATAAACATGTCTGCTTAAGAGTGCGCTTTAATGAATCAGCTTTTTTTTAGGAAGAACTTGCAATGCAAACATGTTGCAATATTTATTCCTAAACATAAGAATGTGACAAAAATGTGACCAAAAATCCCAAAAGTCCTCACTCCCCAAACACTGTGCTCGTGGGGGATGAATCCCTGCAAATTGAACAAAAATCCAAATCATTTTTAATAGTCAGATGACACTGTGACTCAGCTGCTAACAGCTGGCATTTATCACGGTCTTTGGGACTTTCTGACCAGAACTAGGGAAAAGCAAATTGAGTACAGTGGTACCTCGGGTTAAGTACTTAATTCGTTCTGGAGGTCCGTTCTTAACCTGAAACTGTTCTTAACCTGAAGCACCACTTTAGCTAATGGGGCCTCCTGCTGCCGCTGCGCCGCCCGAGCACGATTTCTGTTCTCATCCTGCAGCAAAGTTCTTAACCTGAGGTACTATTTCTGAGTTAGTGGAGTCTGTAACCTGAAGCGTATGTAACCTGAAGCGTATGTAACCTGAGGTACCACTGTATTAAGACAGGACTTCCTACAGTCAACATTTCACCTCTGAACTTTTATATGCATGGTGAAGGTCATCTTGGTTTATGAGGAGTCAGTAGATTAATCTGTTCTTCAGATTAACGTAGAAATCTAGTAATAAACAAATGTATGGAGACAACCAATTAACAACAATGCTTTGCAGTGTCAACATCTGGAAGGTTGCACTTTTGTCATCCTTGGAATGGGCTGACAATGGACTAGATAGGCCTTTGAATCAGGAGGGCTTTCCTCTATGTTTTCATGACAATCTAGAAGTCAATTGTTTGGGAAAGCAGAGTGTGCAAGTATATATGAATGGAAGTGTCTCTGGATACTTGCATTGTAAACATCTACTGAAGAAAGGATTTCTTATTCCCTTCCTAGATGTTATACACCATCACAAAATAATTTAAATAGATTGACAGAAACAGTTTAGAATTGCTTAAAGCCGAAGTAAGAAATCTAGTTGAATTGGTACTGAACTCACCAAGAATTGGTGTGAAACATCAATCAGAATGTGTTCAGGGCAGTGTGAGGGAGATATGAGAGGTTTATGCTACAAGTCTAACCATGTCTACTCAGAAGTAACTCCACCTGAATTCAGAGCTGCTTACTTCCAGTATGCTTAGGATTGTGCCCTTGCTCTGTGTTACAACCAAGGATATTTATGACCCCTCCAAAAGAACAAGAATTACTTCAAGAGCATTGGTTGAGATTATTTTCTCTTTTATAACAGGACTGGGGAACCTTTGGCCTGCTAGATGCTGCTGAACTACAACTCCCATCGCCCCAGCAAGCATGACCAATGGCCTGGGGTGATGGGAGTTGTAGTCTGCTGGCCCAAAGGTTTTCCACAGTTGACATATAATAAGAATATGAATGCTATTGGCACGGGACTATTGAACAAGCATTTTTGTTGTTGAAGCAAAAGACTTTTATAGATATAAAACAAATGGATATTTATATATTAGGTATAACAGTGTAGCAAATCAATGAGTTGGCCAGATGTAGATGCTCTGCTCTAAATATATTCCCGTGCTGAAATGCAGTGTCCAAACACTCCTTGGAATAGCGGTTGTTTCAAAGATAACATATTTTTGGTCTGTCTGAAGATTTATAGGTAGAAAGAGAACCAGATGTGTAGAACCGGCAGAGTATCAAATATCACGTTGGAATTGCACACTGATTTCAGCATGCTTTTGAACCCTCACTCTTGTGGACAAGTGCTCGATGCAATCAACTTTCCCTCTCTTCTAGAAGAAAAAGAAGTTTGGCTTGGTGTTAAAACACTGCCAGACTGGAAGTGTGTGAAGTGTGTGCCTTAAAAAAAAAAAAAAAAGCAGGTAGTTTTTTCTGCTGCTTTCTTTACAGACTTGGACCACAACTCCCGTTTGTGAGGATGTGGACTTTCCTGATCTTGAAATTCCTGCTCCCACTGGCATGGACTGCAAGGATAGGTTAAAGATACTTTGCTGCTTGAGGCAAAGGATATTCTGACACCCTCCCACTCCAAGCATAGAATCCAATTGGAATGGTAGCTGAACATTACATCAGCACTGGGGATGGGACAGTGTCCCCACCACCACTACACTTAGGGGCAGAAGGCTTGCTTAGCGGGTGCAGGGCAGGCTGGCTTGGGAGATTTGGAAGGACTCATGGGGGGCTGCTGCCCTCCACATCCCCTGCAGCATCTTCTGCAAGAGGCAGTTGCCTTGCTCTGCGTAATGTTAGGGCCACTCCTAATGGAGAGGTATTGGGGCAAATGCAGCCATTGGTGCTGATTTTATAATGAAATGATTTTAGAATGTTGTATCATTTTATTGTTGTTAGCTGCTCTGAGCCTGGCTTTGGCTGGGGAGGGCGGGATATAAATAAAATTTTATTATTATTATATTATCATACAATCCTCCTCCTCAGTATAGATTCCAGGGGGGGGGGTGGCAGAAAATATTTTTTTTATTTGCCCTATCACTAGCAAGATGGTGACATATAAACTAGCAGTCTTTGCAGTGAGTGCAGCTAAGACTTGGTCACAAATACTGAAAAATGAGCTAATATACTGTAGAGCTGACAATAAGAATTGTTCAACTCTT